TCAGCGCGTTTGGAATGGCTCACTGCAAAGGCGTGAATAACCTTGTGGCAGCGAGGTCTTGAACAATGACGCCAGACCGGTCATGATGACTGCCCGCTACAGTTTCTTTTGGCTCCAGCCGATATACCAGGCAGCATAAAAACGAATATGAAAGACTACATAGATCCCGACCAACGAACCCTCCCACAGTCTAAAGTTGATGTCAGAATCAGTCAGCCCTATCCCGAAGTCAAACCCAGTGGTGCATTTAGTTTGGAAACGAGTAAAAGTTACTGTGACCGGATAGAATGTCGTAAGATGCCTTCCTGATTCCCTTGACGAGATCAGAAGCAGAAGCGGTTTTCGCCACTTTAGTTTACCATAGGCTTCGTCAAAAAAGGGATGGGAAACACGAGTGAAGCATTTGGTCGCCTGAGGGAACGACTAGGTGGGATCGTTTGGGAAATTGGACAATCACTACTGCATAGGATGTGTCTACTTAATCGGAAATCAGTAGACTTACGATCGGAAGGGCAAGCAGACCAAGAGCCTTGAACTCGACCCAGAAGCCCTTTGGAAAGATTCGGCGGTAACACTCCATGTCCCTGGAGTGGTGACGGTGTCGTCAGTTGAGGCCTCAAAACTGCGAAAGACAAAGAGTTACGAATATTTCGCACAAGAAATGGAAGGCAAAACAGAATAACCTTTTCTTCAAAAAGTTTTTGTATTGGACCAATTAAAACAGTTAGAGACCTGGAAGTTTGACAAAAGGAATTTTTGATACTAGTCATAACAACGCTTTTGCAAGTGTAGTAGTCCTACAAGGCAGTTGGTTTGAATGGTAGAAACGAGAAAAAGAATCGCACCAAGGGAAAATGAGGTGCTGAAAAGTGTTTTTCTAGGCTTAATAAGTCTTCAGTTCTTACCAGTTATTCTCTTTCGGCGTTACTCACACTACCGTATGCATCGACAATGAAAAGCGCTGTCGAACTACAAGTCAGAGGGATAATTTCGCGGTTATTGCCTGTGGTTAGCAGTCTGGCATCTCATGTAGTAAGCGTCGTTCCCTGATTTCTGTAGAATTCTTAGACCTCGCCTAGTAGCATCGAGTTTATGTGGCTACCTGAGAGAAAAGCCGTCCCGCTGAGAAACAGGTGTGGTGAACAGGCAGCTGTAGGAGGCGTCCCACAATAACCTGCTTCACTCAACCTCCCCAAACGTCACGCATCTCATGAAAGGCCTAATTCTGATTGGCTCACATGAAACTGCAAATATTGGGCCAGATGCAGGAAGGTGAAAGGAATGTTTTGTTTGCGTAAGTGGAAGCAGAAAGGGCTGTTGTCTGATTGGTTTGTAGCGAAAACACTGTTCATGGACAGCAGCCGACGCCAGTGGTGGTGGTTCGTTAGAAGTTGGCCTAATTATAGAAACAGTGATTTGTCTGGGTTGACAGCTAGCTTTCCAGTCTCCGATTTTTCGCTTTCTTTAGTAAACTGTCGCCACAATCATGGTAGACAAGTAACGAGAGCAGTGAAAGCGTATTTTATGGCCTTTAAGTGTGCTGCTTGAAGGGTATCGTCTAACCCAAAAATATATTACTACCTGCCTGTCAGCAGGTAACGAATATTACGCGGCCATTCCTCTGTGACTGATGGATTTCAGCCCAAATATTCATACATCAGATTTCGGTCTGCGTCTATAGACCTTAAAATATACTGACCTACTCTAAGTTAACAATTAATTTCTAGGGAAATTAAAAAAAACCACGCATTATCACTTGTTGTACTACCATAAACTTAACTTGATGTCCGCAGTCCTCAAACAAAAACTCTAGGGAATTCATTTCCACGGCACTTAGACACCTTAATTACCATAAAAAATCTGACTCGTTGGAACCTCGTCCTGGCTTGGAAGTTCGCCAACAGTCTAAGTAAATTAGTCCCTACACAACGAGGAGTCAGGTTGCAATGGCTTCTTCCGAATGCCACGGGTGTGGCAATCCAACTGAGGTGAGATCAGAGTCATTCTTTTTTGCGGAAACCACGTTGATATTAGGTCGTGCGTGGCGCGCGTAGACGGACTCTTTAACCATTTCAACTACTGCACCCACGTCCACCTGCGGTGTTCCTAAATTCCGTCTTATCACCGGAACCAGGTGATGGAGGATGAGATGGCGGTAGATGCTACACAAGTCTCCTATCATTGTAAACAAACAATGTGCATGCCGCCGTCCTGCGCCCCCCACGCCGTAGGGCATGCGAGGGTTCACGAGGTCGGACCGTCAGTGTTCCACCTGCCTTTTCCATAAAACTGCTTTCCATTTCCTTAGATGCATCGTTCGTCTTTCGACTTGCGCCCCGGTCCCACCTTGCTTTTAGTCCATCCGGAGATTTGAGTAGCGCAACTATAGTCCTATCCATGAAACTGCATAAAATGAACCAAAATCAGTCAAATGGCTGGTAAGCTCATTGCACAGCATTTTTGTGCATTTGTGTATGCGGAGCATTTGTGCATTTGTGCCTGGAGCACCCACCTACACCCAACGTACTCGCCTCCACTGCCCACAGTGCCCTCGCACCTTCACTCACCGCATGGGCCTGTTCGGCCACATGCGCATCCACGAGAGCGGAATTGACCGCAGCCTTGCCACATTCATCCCGCCGAGCCCCACTGCCAATCCACCACCTTGTGCACCCACTTACCACTCCCCAGCCGACATCGACGCCACCGACCTTACCACCCCTCACTCCTCCCCTTCCTCCTCCTCCTCTTCCTCATTCACTGCCAAAACGACGGCCGCTTCGGCGTCTGTCGCCCACGACTTCACCACAGCCGAACCTGACACAACAACAGGCACAACCCCTGCAACCTCCATCATCAGACGTGAGGGCCAGGACTACATCTGCCCTCATTGCAATCGCACCTTCACTTCACGCATCGGCCTGGTCGGTCACTTGCGAATCCATCGCACAGAGACCGGCGAACCAGTGCCTGGAGCACCAACCTACACCCAGCGCACTCGCCTCCACTGCCCACACTGCCCTCGCACCTTCACGCATCGCATGGGTCTATTCGGCCACATGCGCATCCACGACAGCGGAATTGACCACAATTCCGATACAGCCACGACATCCAACATATCCACCACGCCCAGACCCATCCTCGCTCCCCCGTCACACGCGCCGACCACGACCACGACCACCGCCACCACCACCAACACCACTGCTTCCTCTAAAGCTGACAACGACACCGCCGACCTCTCATGCCCACATTGTCCACGCACCTTCACCTCACGCATCGGCCTGGTCGGTCACTTGCGAAGCCATCGCACAGAGACTGGCGAACCAGTGTCTGGAGCACCAACCTACACTCACCGCACTCGCCTCCACTGCCCGCACTGCCCTCGCACCTTCACGCATCGCATGGGTCTATTCGGCCACATGCGCATCCACGACGACCTGCGGTAGACAACCGCCGGTCACACCACACATTCCCTCACTCCCTACCTCCTAATACCATAACCCCACCAGACATCAACACTCACACACCTCATGCACTCAACTGCCGCCTCCCACGCAAGTGGGAAGTCGGCATCTCGACTCGGTCCCCATGCGGCTTCGGCTGCAGGAGTGACTTGAGTCCGAGACTATCCCGACAAGTCAAGCGTCGTGAATAGAGAGATTGCTGATTGACGCCCGCTCTCGGTTCACGCAGTTCGTCACGTTGTGTGTGTGTGTGTTGTGTGGAGTGGCGGACTGGTGGGCTGGGGACGGGCTGAAACAGCACCTTCCACGGCACTCTCACGCAAGTGAGAGACACGCCGTTCAACCCGCGTTGTGTGAAATCCTGGTGTTTGTGTGTGTATGGGGGGGCCAGGTCGTGCTGTGGCGCGCGCAGGCATGGTCAGTCGACCATGTCAGCCACCGCGACCACTCCCCACTCCAGTCTGCTGACCGGCTCGGACAGCGGCTGGGGTTTGGGGATGGGAAGGGAAAGTGAGGTCGACGACTCAGCGCACTTTCTCCTCACTATAAACAATCTGACGCGCTTGAAGCTATCATGGTGCGCTAAAAGCCGTGGCTTGGAAGCTTGACAACTGACGGGGTAATTTGGACCTCCTCCTTCACTGGAGGCGGTCTGAGAGTCAGGCTGCAATGGCTCCTTTTTAATGTGACCTTTATGGCACTCTCACCACAGTGTGGGATCCGAGCCAGGCGTTGGCGGCACGCCCAGGTGCGGCCTCGGTCGTGCCAGCCTCCAAATCTCTGTTGTGTTGGTTGAAATCCTGGTTATTGTTGTGTGGACCAGGGGGTGTGGTGGAACGCCAATGTTAGGATCCGTCCGAGCCATCCACCTGCGGCCTCCCTCGTCTCCGGTCTTCTTGACTCTGTCTTGACAACGGGCCCAGGCGGGGGAGGAGGAGAGAGTGTAGGTAGATGCAGCGCAAGTCTACTGGCACTATAAACCCCTGCGTCGGTTCGATGAAGTGCTTATGACCCATCTGGTAGACCCCGATGGTGGACGAACTGCGCCTGGGGTGTCTGTGCGCATGTTTGTGTTTCTGGTCTTAACTGCTGGTCAGGGTTATGATTGGCTGAATGAAGGCACAATAAGCCCGAAACAGTACTGTATAAATCTATCGGCATTCTCTGTCGTCCCTCCTAGCTGATATATACATATATATATATATATATATATTATGACAGTGAGCGCACGCCGATCAGGTGACGGAACCAAGATCCCGGGTTCGAATCTCAAGTGATCCACACTTGGGTTTGGGTATGACTGGCTGATGACGGCTAATAAGCCAGAAATGGCCATTCCGGTCTCCCTTGTCTTTGTCGGCTCCATCTCATACATATATCAGATGAATAATTTGAGAAATTAATCAGTGCAGGACTTGGAGTTAAATGTCCGAGACATGACTTTTTAGGGTCAGAACCGAAATTTCAATGAACATTTGAGTCGAAGACAATCAACTACTTTGGAATAACCACGTAATACCCATTCTACAATCAAGCAGTACTACGAGTAGTATGAATTCATTATGGTAAAGGTATTATACCGTACTTCCGACCTAGATACTTGCTAAAAGCCCAGACACATGTTTCGGTTCTGACCCTAAAACGTCATGTCCCGGACATTTAACTCCAAGTCCTGCACTGATTAATTTCTCAAATTATTCACCTGATTATTCTCTGGAGTTCATATACCGGAAACCGCTAGAGAACGCTGGGGGTCCCACTGAAGAGCCGAACCCCTCGCAGCTGTGTCACGCAGCGGCAGAATATCGGCGAAACACGTGTCTGGGCTTTTAGCAAGTATCTAGGTTGGAAATACGGTATAATACCTTAACCATATATATATATATATGCTGGAAAACGGGCATCCCAAGAAATTTAATTGAAAATAAGTAAGATTCTTTGGGAAGGGAATAAACTTTAATGAGTAAATTTTCGAGTCTGGATCCCCAGCTCGTCGTCAGACTTTTGGGCAATGTACAAAAGCAGTTAACTATTTAACCGTGTCAAACAAGTGATTCTATGGTTGGCCGAAGTCTGCGCCAATGCGCGTCAACGATTTCGTCATCCCTTCGGCATTGGCAGCGCTCGCTTCCATTTGTCCTTGAGAAATTTGTATGTGGCATCTAAATCGATATGCCGATTGATGCATGCCTCGTCTGAGTGCATTGCTTCCAGGAATTCGCGGCCTTTCCTTATTGGGCAGGCGCCAACAATGCGGGTGTTCTCCCATGCAAATTTGTGTCCAGTGTCCAGTGTGTGCATAGCCGCCTGTGATAAATGATCTCGTCTCCTCACCGCTAACTGATGCTCATGTAAGCGGGTAGAGGCGGATTTCCCAGTTTGGCCACAATACACGGCATCACAACTGGAACATGGTATCTTGTAGACAACACCTTTCCTATCAAGATAGCCAACCCTGTCCTTAGGGTGTACAAGCTGTGTACGCAAGGTGGTTGTAGGTTGGTGTGCTACGTGTATCTGATGCTTTTTCAGTTGTCTTTCGACAAGTTCAGATACATTTTTGATGTATGGGAGGGTCCGCCAGGTGAGAGTTTTTGGTGCTTGGGTGGCCGCTGTTTTCGAAATACCTTTCTGTTTAAACTCATGTTTCATGCAATGATGCACAAAGTGGCGCGGGTAGCCGTTGTGGGAAAATAATTTGAAAAGGTATTTCACTTCTGCTTGATAACTTT